AATCATCGATCTCGCCTTATCTGACATATGGTTTGGCGGCTTGGGGTCAAGCTGCCAAAACCCATTTCCAAAAAATTCTCGTGCTTCAAAAACGAGTCCTTCGTTTGAAGTACTTTTCTGAACCTAGAGCCCATGCTGTGCCTTTATTTATTTCCTCGAAAATTCTACCCTTACAAATTTTATATGCTGAAAAAGTATCTTCTATAATGTTTGACGTTTTCTGCATGAATGCTCCGTCTAACATCTCTGATTTCTTCACTAAAGCTAATTCAAAGCACAAGCATTAGACCAGGTTTTCTTCGTCTGGAAATTATTATGTCCAAACTTCAAGACTGAATCTAAATCAAGATTCTTTTTCCAGGTTTGGAGCTAAACTTTGGAACGCAATTCCTAACGAATTTCGTCAACTCTCCAAAGGAGCTTTTAAAAAAAATTTTCATGACTTTTTGCTCTCGATAATGGAAGTAGAGGACGATTATGTTGGAGTGCCCATTTTCCGACAAAAAATGGCAAATTCTGCATCCTCGACTCAATGTACTAATAATCGATAGGTTCTGTTTGTAGTAAATTTGATGGTAATATCATTCTGTAAGACTATATATTTTGTAACTTTAGCTTGTTTTTCAGTAATTCTTATTTATCCATATGGTTTATTTAGTTACTTTACAATTATTATATTATCTGTTATGACTGCTGTAACCTTTCCTCTCCGCCCGCCTCGTCTAGCTTTTGCTATTTGCGAGTGGAGATAGCAAAATGATGTGCATGAAATAAAGTATAGTGTGTGTGCGAGCCGTTAGTCCAGTGAAATTTGAGACAATTTTGAAATATCACAAGTGGTATTTATGCCAAATATATCACGTACATAGAGAATACTTCATGGAAAGTGCTGGCGTACGGTATTTACGCACGAGTTGTTGACGTATCAGAAATCGAACGAGTGAGCGCAGCGAACGAGTAAGATTTCTGATACAAAAACAACGAGTGTGTAAATACCGTACAAAGCACTTTCCATGTGGTATTGTGTTTATTATATACATACTGAGACATTCATCATTTTGGCGGCCTTTTTATTTTAAATCTTTCAAAAATGCTAAAATTTGCCGCTACACACTGACCGCAAAATGACAACGAAAACGAAGTATCAGCTTTTTAGTAAAAACGTTTGTTAAAAACATAAATGACGGTGAGGATATGAGGTAATCCAAGAACTATAAGTAATCTTAGCTGTTTGTTCTCAATGCACAATTGAAAATGAGTGAATTAAAGTAAAATGGCCGGTTTCAATATAAGCTTAAGCTTAAATGAAAGGCAAAGTAGCTCCGACAAAAAGCACAACAAAAGCTTACGTCTCGTTCTGTTTATCCCTTTCCGCTGTTGTTTCGCCGTCTCTCTACCATTTTCTTTATCGACAGCGAAACAAACGAAACTATTCCACTCCATTTCCGAAATGTTTTTCACTTTTTTAGGGAGAAAAACTCTTTGAGTAAATCTTTTCTCGTTGAATGTGTGCGAAGCGGCGCTGCAAGCTGCAATAAAAGGCGGGAATTTTGGCGCGAAACTCACACACCTCTGTGGCTTCTGATTGGACGTATCATTTTTCTCACACGTGAAAAAACATCGTTCGCGATTCTGATTGGACGTATCATTTTTTTCACGTGTGAAAACCATTGTTCGGTCCTCTGATTGGCTAGAACTAACTTGCGTTCGAAAATTTACGACATAGCTTTTTGGTGAGTATTTCTCAGTATGTATATAATAAAAATCATGCCATTATTTGTTTATACTACTACCCTCAAAAGGTTTGTAATCTTCACATGTAGGTATTTCAAATTAAGCTGAAATACCACTGCTCTAAGCCAATCAAATTGCAAAAATTTTTCATGCAGTAGTATAAACAAGCGTAGTCATTGTTTCAGAGTCTGAAAACTTGCAATTAGCTGCACTTGCAAATTACCACCCCTTGTTTCATCGATAAGAATTGTTTTGCAAAGCTTTTATCTGCTCATTTTCTGAAATAGTTAAATGGTCATCTTGTTTCAAACGTGTTTCTAAATCTCTCTAATAACAACCATATTTTTTAGCATCACAAATTAATTTCTGATTGGAGAAAATTGTGGAAAGAAGAGCAACGTTTCATCTAACAGAGGCCTTCGCTGATTAATTGCCTGAAAAGACGAAATGGTCGAAATATGTGAGTGGAGGTATCCTTTTAACATATATTTAACATGCTCTTTCTACCATACGCTCTTAAAACTGAATAAAGTTTTACATATTTTCGTCGTAGTTAAATTTAACGTTACAATCCGTCTTCAATTTAGTGTACCTTCAGCCTACAATAAACAACGTAATCTGTATTATCGGCCCAAATCCACTTAGCCGCCTTTGCGATTCCATCTCTTGTGTGCCAGGGGGGGTCCCCATGTTTTCCAACCACTTTTGCAAAAGGCCAGTCACGGTCATCAAAATCCGGGGAATTCCATCCGGGATACAGGTCGCTGCTGCATTTCCAGGTTTCATTAGTTAGCAGTCCATTACTAGTTGAGCCGAGTATTCCGGCATACGGGCTTCCATCTTGGCGGTTCCTTCCAATCACGGAAATAACCCGTGTGTCTGCTGGTACTTTGTAGGTGAAAGGGTCTTCCCAATTGTCGTTGTCGTCTCCGAGGCTCGTATTATCAGCAAACATTTCCATTGAGTTGTCACACGTGAATGTTGCAGTGAATTCTAAAAGATATTACGATATTACTTCGATCATGTGTGAAAAAAACAGTGGCAGATCCAGGGGAAGGACCCGGGGGGCCCGCCCCCCCTTATTTTTAGAGATGACCTGGCCCCCTCCTTATCTCAAGGTCTGGATCCGGCCCTAACAAATATGTCAGTTTAGCCGATAGTGAGTATCATTCACTGTGTGCTGTATGCAGGTCATATTCATTAAAACAATTTTAACCTTGGATATACACAAGCACGGGTTCGCATTAAGGTCATTTATAAGGTCATATGATACATGAATCTTAAATCACAGCTTCAGCTAGAGTCAATTTTCCTTTTTCTTGCACAAAGCACCTATTTAAAATACCACTTGTCTTTACCAAACGTTTGAAAGACTGAATTTTTGACGAATTAAGCAGTATAATATATACTATATATTCAAAGATTGTAAACCGTGCTTGAGATTAAAGGGTCCATTATTACTCTTAGGCCCTGTTTTTCAGGAAAAGGTGTCCTGGGAAAGAGGGTCACCACACCCTCGACTCCAAGCTAAGTCAACTTTAGGGAGCGTTTATATAAGAAACAAGAATCACTTTGTGAATTTTACCGGGGCCACTTTTGTCTTGGCAACCCAGGTGGAAGGGTCGTTTTCATCAACAAGTTTGTCGGGCGACATGAAAATCTTTTTCATTGAAAATATTCTTTAGAGATGAAAACAAGGTGTATTTAATGAATAATGTGAAAAGCGAAAATGTTAGGGAATCCCCCATTTTGAACAGTTGAGAGTTTTCGCATGTCGCTAACGTAAATATTGCGTGACAAAGGTTATGTGAAACAGTCTTTTTTGGTTTTTCATTAGTTAAAGCAGTGATAGACTTTCTTGTAATGAGTCTTAATTATTTGTCGGCCAATATTTGACGAAGTTTCCTGTAGGGAGTGCGAATTGTAAGGTACTGAAACGTACAAACAAAGTTTAGCGCATGCAAGTTTAATAAGTTAAGATTTTTGTTTTGTCGTAGTGTACACAGTTCAACAGCGACTAAGCTTTGTCATCGTTAGGATGAATACTGTAACAATACTTTTCAATACACAGGGATCTGATTTATTGATAAGTAGCAAATATAGTCGCATTAACCATTCCGTTCCAAAACTAATCGAATTAATATTTGGCCCTAAGCCTATTTAATGCATAATTAATTTTCTTTGAATTATTTCAATATACTTCTAAATCAGGTAAACAATTATGTCCAGTAACGGTGAGGGCATAAAAACGCCCTTAGCAATGGTTTAATGCAAATAAGGAAAGAGGAAAGGGCAAGGGGAGGAGGAGGGAAAAAGTAATTTGTTCGCATGGCGAGTGTGTTAGAACGAATGACTGCGTTGCAGCAAAGGTCACATGTAATTAAAACTCCAGAACAGTAGATGAGGGTTCAATACATTAACATGAGTCAACTCCCAATCCTAGGCTGTCAAGTTACGCAGTTTTTCTCACGTGTTCAGATCGATTGCATGATAATAAGATATTTCTTAGCAACAAGAATCCAAAGTAGCTAAGAATACCAAGGAGAAAAACATAAAAATTCTACGTCAACGTCTAATGAATAATGTGAAAAGACAAAATGTTAGGGAATCCCGGATTTTGAACAGTTGAGAATTTACGCATCTCGCTAACGTAAATATTGCGTGACAAAGGTTATTTGAAAATATTTTGTTTTGTTGCTTCATAAGTCAGGGCAGTGATAGACTTCCTCCTAATGAGTTTTAATTGTTTGTCGGAAAATATTTGACGACGTTTCCCGTAGGGAGTGCGAATTGTAAGGTATTGAAACGCATAAACAAAGCTTGGCGCATGCAAGTTTAATAAGTTAAGATTTTTGCTTTGTCGTAGCGTACACAGTTCTACGTCGACCAAGCTTTGTCATCGCTAGGATGAATACTGTAACAATATTTTGCAATAGACAGGGATCTCATTTATTAATAAGTGGTAAATATAGTCGCAATAAACCATTCCGTGTGCAAACTAATCGAATTAATATTTACATGGTTACAGTTGTTGCTCCCTACTTCAAATTTCTGAACCAGCGATAGATCTCAGCGAACGCTAGGTAACTCATGTAGGGGGACATATATTGTACCGATTTTGCCTACTTAACTTATACCTTCACTCTTTCTTCTTGGTTCCTTGTTGCGTTGTAGCTCTGTTCTCTGTTACCTTGTTGATCTGTTTCCTTGTTTCCTTGTTACTCTGTTACCCCCTTGTTACTCTGTTACCTTGTTACCTCGTTACTATGTTACCTTGTTACTATCTTACCTTGTTACCTTGTTACTCTGTTACTTTGTTTCCTTGTTACTCTGTTACCTTGTTACCTTGTTACTCTGTTACCTTGTTACCTTGTTACTCTGTAACCTTGTTACCCTGTTACCTTGTTACCTTGTTACTCTGTTACCTTGTTACCGTATTACTCTGTTATC